GAGAGCCCACTATCGGGCCTATGCTGTGGCGGTGAAGGCGGCGAAAAAGAAGTTTTTTTCTGCTTCCATTGCCTCCTCACAATGCCGTCCAGCGGAGCTTTTTCGAGTGGTGCAAGGCCTGGTTCGCCTGGGTCCTAAGGAAGATCCGATGCCACCCTCAAAGGCCCGCTGTGACGACTTTGCCAGGCATTTCAGGGAGAAAATCGCTCAGATTCGTCACGAGCTGGACTCCACTAATGAATCAGAGGTCTCTGAGGAGTCGCCAATGCCACCGTCTGGTCTAAAATTACTGGAGGAATTTCAATTATTGCGGCCCAATGATGTGGACAAGGTGCTTGGAAGAGTACGTCCCACCACGTGCCTATTGGATCCTTGCCCGTCTTGGTTAATAAATAACTCCAAGCACGGGATTGGGACCTGGATTTTGGAAGTGGTTAACGCTTCTCTGAGGGAGGGTCGAGTGCCTGCCCCTTTAAAGGAGGCAGTAATACGACCGGTCCTGAAGAAAGCGTCACTGGATCCAGAGATGGCCACTAACTATAGACCTGTGGCCAACATCCCGTTTCTGGGCAAGGTGCTGGAGCGAGTGGTGGCGGGACAACTCCAAGCACTCTTGGAGGAAACTGATTATCTGGATCCTTTTCAGTCCGGCTTCAGACCCGGGTACAGTACTGAATCTGCCTTGGTCGCCCTGTACGACGACCTGTGCAGGGAGAAGGACAGGGGGAGTACATCCCTGTTGGTTCTTCTGGACCTCTCGGCGGCTTTCGATACCATCGACCATGGTATCCTTCTGGATAGACTTGCGGGATTGGGGGTTGGAGGCACTGCTTTGCAGTGGTTCCGCTCCTATCTCGACGGTCGATTCCAGAAGGTAGTGCTGGGGGACCATGTCTCTACGTCATGGCAGCTATGCCATGGGGTACCACAGGGCTCCATTCTATCCCCTCTGCTATTTAACATCTATATGAAACCGCTGGGAGAGGTCATCAGGAGGTGTGGGCTGCGGAATCATCAATACGCTGATGATACCCAGCTTTACCTCTCATTCTCCACTAATCCAGGTGAGGCAGTGGCTGTGCTGAACCGGTGCTTGGCCGAGGTAATGGAATGGATGAGGGCCAATAAACTGAAACTCAACCCAGACAAGACGGAGGTCCTGTTGGTTGGCGGATCGGGTTTTGGAGAGGGTGGATTTGACCTGGTCCTGAATGGTGCAACACTCCCTCTTAGGGATAAGGTCCGCAGCTTAGGTGTACTCCTTGACCCGGAGCTTTCTTTGGAAGCTCAGGTGACAGCGGTAGCGAGGAACGCCTTCCTTCAGCTTCGGCTGATTAATCAGCTGCGCCCCTACCTGGAATACGACTGCCTGGCAACGGTGACACACGCGCTGGTGACTTCCCGCCTAGACTTCTGTAACGCGCTTTACGTGGGGCTTCCCCTGAAGACAGTCCGAACACTTCAATTGGTGCAAAATAGAGCTGCCAGGTTGCTGACGGGGACGGGGCATTATGCTCACATGACTCCAGTCCTCCATCAGCTTCACTGGCTTCCCATTGAAGCCCGGGCCCAATTCAAGGTGTTGATTATGACCTACAAAGCCCTAAACGGCTTGGGTCCTGGCTACCTGCACGAGCGCTTACGTCCGTATATGCCTGACCGCCCTTTGAGATCTGCGGGAGAGTCCCTTCTCCGGGAACCCTCCATGAAAGAAATTAGGAGAGTAAGTACCCGGAGGAGGGCTTTCTCTGCGGTGGCGCCCAACCTATGGAATTCACTCCCCAAAGAGGTCCACCTGGCACCGTCGTTACTGGTTTTTCGGCGCCAGGTAAAGACCTTTTTATTTAAACATCATTTCAATTGTTAAAACATATGATCTGGCCTGGGCAACTTCTTCTTCCTTCTCTTTCTCCTCCTATATTTTTATTTTATACTGATAATTTTAATTTTGTATTTGTAAATCAATGTATTTTTTGTATTGTTATATTTAATGGTAATTTATTATGTACTATTGTATTTCAATGTATTTTATCATGTTGTAAGCCGCCCCGAGGTTTCGGCAAGGGGCGGCATAGAAATGTTATAATAATAATAATAAAAAAATAATAATACAGCTGATGAATAGTGAACTGAGAAAAGGAGCCATATTGTTTTTGCATGTTGGACTTTGGCTGGCAAGACCTGACTTCATGAGAGATCAGTGCTAATGTTTATTTTTGACCTGGGCCACTGACTTCCCTGGATCTAGTCCAATTTCACAAAGTGATGGTGTGCGGTGCCAAGCCAGGGCAGGGAAGCATTCCTGTTCTACTACATTGGGCCTGGGAGAAGGTTCCCTATTTTATCCGTAAGAATTCCTGCCAGACTGTGGTTGTTTTTTGGTACACTCAATACCTTAAGAACCACCTCACTTGCTCAAATCCAAGCTCTATCCCTAACCAAGTGTTGTTTGTACCCACAGCCAGTCAGGCACTTCTGGAATATACAGCTAACTTCAGTTGTCTCCTATTCTTTGCCCCAATAATTCTGTTATTTAGGTGTGTTTCTGTTTCCAGACACAGAAACCCTAGAGACCTAGTTCTAGAATTTTTAATGGTTGTTTCATCCATTCCTGCTCACATGCTGTTTCATTCTATATTTTCTGCTTTTAATACTTGTTTCACCTTTGATGTTTTTAACTGTTTCCATGGCATTTTAGTTTTTGAACTGTTTGCAATGTGCCCAAAGAACATTTGTTTTTGGAAAGATTAGAAAAGTGAAATATAAAATGACATTTTAAAATATGTAGCTCTTGTAATTAATAGCACATAAGCAGCTGCACCTATTGCTCCTGCAGGCAATTGACAGTGAAGGTAGCAGTCAAGGCTTTGGTAAAAGATGAAAATGTGAGAGGTAGATTATGATTGTTCATCTCTTAACCCAGGGCTAGTTAACCTCTGCCTAACAAAGACTGTTGACAACCAATAGAAGGTGGTTATTATTTCTGCATGTGCCATTTCTGAACCCCTAGAGGTACCTAACTGGTCTTTCTTGGACTAAAAGGCTTTTGTTCTGAACCATCAAGTTAGTTTCTAGTGTTCATGTGTAATGCTGTTCAGGCCAACTTGTAACTCCACCCACAGAGCTGATTTTAATGAATTTTAACTAAAACACAGATGAGAACTGAAGAATGACCTTTGTTTTCTTTTGACTGTTACAGATCCCAAAGCTACATGTGGGACAGAACCATTTTTTACAAGGACTCAGGTGGCTGCAGCTGTACTCACCTGCCTGCTACCAATTCTGCTTAGACACTTTTAGAAACCAAGAGGACCACCTCTGCTTGGTTAATGAATCTAACAGATTTTTGAAATACAGAAATCTAATAATTTCTAATACAAAAACATTGCTGCCCTCCCATCATTACAATTAAGTTTCTTCTTAAATTAGTATCTACACAGCTGTTTCTGCTCCCCATAGTACCATCTTTATGGGGAGTACCAGTTCTATGGGATGTGGAAAGGAGATTTTTGTGTGTGTTTAACTACAGTGCAGAGAACATGACTCAACTCACTGCTAGGATTACCATTAAACTTAAGAAGTATGATGGGATTCATCCATACAACTTATATATCCTTACATTACACTGCAATTATGTATTTCCTCCCTGAAAAAATATTGCAGTCATGTTTTGAAGCTAAGTAAATATCATTTACACATACTCTTACTCAGTTCTATGTGCTGCTGGTATGAGCTAATGGATTATGATCAGCTCTATAATTCAGTCTCCCTCTTATAGGAAAGATGGCTTCTGACTGTAATCAATTTGAAATAAGCCAAAAGGTTCCTCGAGCAGAAGACTGATCCTGGGCTTGATCACTATCACTGATCACTTAGATTGAGATTTCTACACATTAGCATTAACTAATAAGCTTTAGTTAATGTGCATGTGGCAAATGTAAATAAATTCATGCTAATGTGCACAGATCTCTCCCAAGTACACAAATCTGCCCCCCTCTGCCCACAGCATCTATATGCTTATGGGGAGAATGCGACTTTGGTCTCTCAATTTTTTCCAGCCTAACTTTGCATATAATTCAGGAAGGTCTAAAAATGTACAACAAATGGGGAAATTTGTGCAGATGTCATGGCTGATGGCTACTTTACCCATTTGTGCAGAGCAAGGAGAAATGGCAAACAGGGATTGGACATGCAAGTGTTGCTCCGCTGACATATGGCTAGTGAGATGACAAGGCACCAGAGAGTTGTACTTCCTGCCTCTTGCCAAGTTCCCCACAGCCTTTTGGCATAAGCCATCATTCTGCATTTACATGCCCTCACAAACCCCCCTGAACAATGGAACAACAAGCCATGGATTCTCAGAGTGGCTTATGCATGGTTAACATACTACACTGAAGCAATCATTCCAGTTTTGGATTCCATAATACTCCAAAACATCTCGACTGACAATTTAATCTGAGTTGTTGTATCATACAAATCAGGCCATTTTACACCTATTTCTAGATCACCAGAACAGAAACGGCAAGTCAGGAGGTGCTTCCTGAGCCATCTAGTCTGACCCCCCAATTCCAGCTGGCTCTGCTCATGGCATGCCTGCCATGTGCCTCATCCATCAGCTCTGCGGTTCTATCTGGAGTAAATTTCAACTTGTTGAACTTGCCCTTCAAGCCAAAACCCAACTCCAAGCACTGATTCAAAAGATCCCCACCTCCCTAGACGGTGGAAACAAGAACTTTGGTCATCAGGAGACTGATGACAATTCAGTCAATATGTTCAGTGATCTCTCCAAACATTTAAGGTTAGTATCAAAGAGATCAGGACAAGAAAGAATCTTTCTTGACAACCAGTATCATGGCACCTTATATTCTTTAGAAGTTTCAGTAACATATCTGTACTATCACTTTTGAAGCAAATTAACAAAGAAAACAAAACCCAATATGGTCTTCTATATGTCAACAGTTTGTATCATTTCAATCCATACACAGAAACATAGAAACAGAGCAAGTCAGAAGGCCTCCTGGGCCATCTAGTCTGATACATTTATTACTTTTTACAATAGCATCAAGCAATATGCTATTAGAATTTCTTTGTGATTAAAATGCAGAACACTTTCTGTGAAATCCATGTTTATTAGTAGTAGACTGGTATCAAGGGTCAATATTCTCCAAGCCCTGAAAAATACAAAGTGAAAGAGAAATGTTCAAGGTGTCTGCCACACATGACATCAAACTATATCCAGTTTAACAAATTTCTCTTTAAAGTATTTTCCATAACTCCATTGGCAGAATAAGGTACGATCTCAAGACCACAAAGCATTTATGTCCAGGAGTTATACAACAGAGGGCAATTGATAACTCACGCTCAAGAGGCGAGTACAGGTCATGTGTGGGATGTTGAACTATGGACTACTGTATTGTCTCAACCCAGAGGTACTAATAAACCATAGTTTGTTAATGGTGAAAAACCATGGCTTACAACCAAAACAATAAACCATGGGTCCTGCTCATGAGTTGTTTGTGGTTATCAATCTACGGTTTCTTAGTGTAGCTGGGTTCAGGCAACACAGTAACTCAAATGGCAACCACAGCCCACGGCTCAACAACAATGAACCCTCAACCCTGGAGCATGGGTTATCATGTTCTCTGAACCCAGCCTCCAAGTATAACAGGCCATATGCACTGTCATAAGAAACAGTACTCAGAACCTTCCCTTCAGGAGCCCATGTAGTTGAAAACTGGCAGTGCAAACAAGAAGAGAGGCAGGGAAAGCAACTGTTTGTGATTTCCTAAAGAGGAGCAGATGCCTGTAAGCTATCAGGCACCTCATACAATGAGACTCCACTGAAAAAGATGAGAGCATACTCCTAGATTACAAAAAGTGAATCCTGGAGGCATTAAAAGGGTAATCCTTTCTTCATGACTGTAAACGATTCAGCTCTCAGGACCTAGAGGTTTTGGCAAGGGGTGGCATAGAAATGTTATAATAATAATAATAATAATAATAATAATAATAATAATAATAATATACTTCAATAACACTCAATATTCAATATTCCATAATGCGTCTCTCTACATCAAGGACTATTTATTGTACAATGATTTGTTTTCAGTTCCAAAATGTCCAAATCAAATACTGTGCTGGATTCTGCTCACATCTGGTAAACACTGACAAAAACGTAGGGGTTAGAAAGCAGCTAGAGTTCATTGGGGGGGGGGGCGCAACCAGCTGTAGCATTTTATAGAAATGTTATAATAATAATAATAATTTTCTTAATAAAAACAACATGAAAAGCTGTCATGATACTGCAGCTGGACAGCATTGTACAGAAAGTTTAAGCCAACCTTAGAATCATAGTAGCGATTGGTTCCAGAGACACGCCTATCTCTTTCCAACAGGTGCCAATTGTAAGGGTACCGAACAATCCTCTTTTCCTGGGTACACAGAAGTGAGATGTAGAGTGTATGAGCACAAGGGGAGGGTGTGGGGAGGAAGACAACAATACAAAGCTAAAAGGTGCAAAGCCAAGTTGATATGGAAAGAAAAATTTGAGTAAGTGCAACAACACATTTTCAAGATGAGAAATACATAGCTCCATCTTGCCTCACAACCAGCAGTGGGGCACAGGTAAGATACATTCCATCAAGGAATCAAGATCTGTTGGACAATTCAGAAAATCTGGGCTTATCAGTTTATTTTTTATATTTGTTTGACAGCCCAGAAGTTAAAATGTCCCTGGAGAACTTATGAAATAATAAAAATAATAATTTAAAAACCAAACATAAAACTATAAAATAAAAAGTACAACAGAACAAAATTCAAAGCATCCCCTATATGAAAAGCACTGATTTTAGTATGGATGTAGGCCCAGACTACATCAGTTATTTGAAAGGCCTGAGAGAACAAATAGGTGAGGTGGAAGCAAGTCTTTGGCTGAACTACACTATCACTGAATAGTCCCCAACTTTCCTCCTACCCCAGCAAACATTGGTACATAAAGTAAACTAACTGGCTTTTCAAATTTAAAATCCATTAATCTTCCTCTCCTCACCCCCTACAAACACCTCTTAATTGTCCTCCTATATTCCTTTTATTTATTTAGGCTATTATCCTACACACAGCTCCCTGGAAGTAAATTTCACTGAACTCAATGAGGATTTGTATGCACAAATCTATATATACTAATTTTCATAGGTACTAAAGCCTGTAAGGAACCCTGCCTTCTAGGGACACCACTATTTTTAAAAAAGGAACCCATGCACAGAGAAGATGACAGTTGATTTTGGGGTGGAGAAGAATCCTCAGGCAGGACTCCGAGTAGGTGCAGCACAGCTCATCCCAGTGGTTCGATGCAGCAGAGATCGTTGGGGGCCCCTGCACCTTTATGTCAGCGAGTGCCCCGGACAGCAGGGTGGTGGCACGCCCTCCCAGAGCCTCAGGGTTGCAAAGGAAAATATTCAGTGCTTGAGTCCAGTGGACCATCTCCACCTGCCTTTGGATATATCATGTAGTGCCACGTACTACCAAGCATCATATTACGCACTTTATCCAAATGTTTATATATCCCTCCTCGTTTTATTACATGCGCCTACATTATGCATAACGTTGCATTTTCTACTTTTTTGTGCGGGGTGGGGAGAGGATTCCAAAAGACACCACGACAGAAAGGAGGAAGAAAGGGAGAACATGCGTATGCCGTCCAGACTCTTGGTCTACAACTCCCATCATGTCTCACCACTGGCCAGGTTGGCTAGGGCTGATGGGAGCTGTTGGCCGACAGCCCACCCTCGAATCGACACTGACAACAAAGGCCTCACGAGACTCACCTTGCCTCCATTTGTGTATCTGTGGATGTATGTGGTGGATAAACCAGGGACGAGCAAACACACGTACATGACAGCCAAACCGGGCAGGATTTCGTACCACATCCCGACGACAGCGCCGCCCGCAACCTCGCAACCTCCTTCCAGTGCACAGAAGACAAAGCGCCGTCCCCTGAGGAGCAGCACTGCGCATGCGCCTCTTTCGGTCTCCTCCGCGAGGCCTCTTGGGCTCTTTCCGTTAATCCAACCCAGGAAGCACCGCCCCGGACCTCTGTTGCTATGGCGATTTCAGACCTCCAGGGCTAAGGGAGCAATCCTAGGCAAGTTAGAGAAGGGGAAAGAAGGCCTTTAACTTCCAGAAATCTATGCCCCAGTCAGCATAGAGCCTAAGGGCAAAAAGGTGTTTTGCTGACTGGGGCATGCTGGGAGTTGTAGGCCTTTCCCCCCATCTAAATGTGTCTAGGGTTGCATCTTGAGAAAGTAAAAGGAAAAACGGCAGAGAAAATGATTCTACTTTTTTACTCTGTTTCTTTTCCTTTTAATTATATTGTATATGTTTTATTGGGCGACACAAAATTATAATCCATTTCTAATAATTTAATTTAAATATAATGTAAATATTTAATTACATAAGTGTTCCATAAGTAAATGTATTTAAACAAATATATAAATAACATATACGTATCTGGATGGATGGATGACTTAAATGTTGTAACCCACCCAGACAGCTTCCGCTATGTGTGGTATAGAAATACAATGTAATAATAATAAACAATAATATCAAGCATAAATTTAGCACGAGCCAAAGACCAAAGCCTGCCGGGAATTAAAGCATTCCTAACATGGCAGAGGGCGAAGTATGCTGGGAGTTTTTGTCCCAAGGCACGCCGGGAACGCCCGTCTCTATGGCAACCGTGCGGCCTGGTGCAGCCGGGACGTCTCCGAAGCCTGGGAGGAGGGTGCTGTGGCGTCGCTCTCGCAGCGGGCTCGTCTTTTCCTCCCGCCCCTATTCCCGCGAGAGGAGCGATGGCCAATGGGCGAGCAGGGATGAGCTGAGGCTGACGGGGAGAGCCTGTTGTTACCGCTACGCCTACGATGAAAGAAGATAAGGAGAACGCAAGGCCCAAAGAGAAGCGAGGCGGTCACCTCACTCCCGCCGGGGTGGGGACAGCGATGGCCGGCATGGACGCCAAAGCGGGGGGCGAGCCTGACAGGCTCGAGCGGCCGAAGGACAAAAAGGAGACGCTTAGCAAGGTGCGCCCAAAGGACCTTCCTCTAGAGCTGCTTAGGCGAACCGAGGCGGACTTATGCCGTCTGGTGGTAGCGCTTCTCCTGGACTGTACCACTCCAGGCAGTGGGCAGGGAATGGGTGTGTGTTCCACGTTTGATTAGACCTCAACACCCATAGAAAATTAGCACGGGCAGAACTCATAAACTTGTTCTGATACTTTTCTATATGTAGGGTTTTCTTTTTCCTGGTTGAGGCAGCGGCGTTGATGGAGGAGTAACAGCATTCAGACGTGTAAGCTCCACTTGTAGCTTCAAAGGGCTTCTCCTCGTTTAATTAACGGGGATGTGGGGTCCAGAGAATGTGTCCTATTTGCCTGCAACAAAAGAACACATGAAAAGTTAGCATACCATGACCACACTTACCTTTTCTTCCTGATATGCCAATATTCTGTGTGTGTGGAAATAATTTGTTTTTAGTTTTGTGGAAAACAGAAAGCTTTCATTGCCACCACCATCTACAATCTGGAATGGGAGAGTCCAGAAAAGGCTTCACAAATCATTTGTGCTGATTTTATAAACTGGGCCCTAGTTGCATCCTTTGGAGTGGTGAGAGCATAGTTCAGCTTACCTCTGTGCCAGGCTCTGTACTTGTGCAACTGTTTTCTCTCCCCTCATGAAGAGGCCGGGTTATGGGTGACAGGACCATCTCTGTACCATATTAATGTAGAACTAATAGTTATGGCGTAGTTGCTAGTTAAAAAGTTGTGGATCACAGAATTATCTGGAAGTGCTTTTACTGCAGAACACATAATAACGAAATCTATTACTTTAGTCAGTACTTGTTTGTAAAAAACTTAATAAAAGGACTGCTTAACTTCAGAATGATGGTAATGACACAGATTCAGCTAAACAGTTGAACAATAGGAAGCTGTTGTTCATTTGATGCTGTATACACTGAATGGCAATGACTCTTGAGAGTTTCAAATAAACATATTTTCCAGCCCTGCATGGAGTTGCTCACAACTTAATGTGGGTATTTTTGCATGCTAAGTGTGGCCCGGTGGCTTTGTCCCAGTCAGGGGGAAATTGCTTATTTAATAAAACATACTTCTGTGGAATAATATACAGACTGAATATTTTCCCACCAGTTGCACTCTCTTAATATTTGGAAAGAACTTGCCAATACATAACTGTAAATTTAGGCATTGGAATTTGAGCACCTAGGAAGTTACATTTGTAATGAAATGTGGATGGAAGATGTAAATATAACCACAAAGTGGGGTTTCCTTAAAAAATCTCTGCAAGCATTTTGAAATACGAAAAAGATCAGGAGAAATGCCCTATTTACAGTATACTGGCAAGACTAGATGTTGTAAAAAGTAAAACGTTTTATTTAAGGTAGTGATTCGACGCCTACCTCCCAGCTTGACAAAAGAACAGCTTGAAGAACATCTGCAGCCTTTGCCTGAACATGACTATTTTGAATTCTTTGCTAATGATTCCAGGTAAGATGAACTTTAGGCATTTGGTTGTGGTGCATGTAACAGTGGCATGTCATATATGTCTTTCAGTTATACACCCGTCTGTGCTGTGTATATTTACAATCATCACTCAGCAACGTTTCCTTATACATTGCCATTTTTTGTCCTTCTGCAGTTTGTACCCTCACATGTTTTCCAGAGCATACATCAACTTTAAAAACCAAGAAGACATAGTTCTGTTCAGGGATCGCTTTGATGGTTATGTTTTTGTTGATCACAAAGGCAAGTAAGCCTAACACTTGGTTATGTATATCATATCTCTGTTTTTAAAAATATATTGGCATATTTTTGTACAGTAACTAAACTGTAATAATGAAAAATCCCTGATTTTATTTACTATCCCTGAATCAATGTTTCAGAAACAGGTAACTCTAAACCATGATTAGTTAGCAATGATTTCAGTGGGGTTTATTTTGAGGTAAGTTTAAGACTGCCATGTTTTAACCTAATCCTAAACATACTTCCTCAGAAGCATATGTTAGTACCAGCTGGACTTGTTTCCAAATAACCATTTTTAAAATAAATGTGACAATCTGTCCATTGCTGTTCTGAGGCAGTGTTGTCTAGGACTGACCTTAAATAATTCCAGCTAATCCAGAATAATTTGATTCACATGAGTCTTACAAGGGACTTTAGCTGTGGGGAAAATGCACAACTAGTACCAGTCTCTTTCAGTGCATCCAGGCAGACACAAGATCCATTGTGTGGGAGCAGTAATGCATATGAGATCTCTGGTAATAGGAAATTTAATTGCAGTGGCAGCTAAAAAAGTTGAATGATTATGCTTCACTTGCCAGGTGTGGGATGCTACTTCAGCATCCTCTATTTGAACCGCTGCTGCTAAAGTGGTACTATAGGGTCATGCTGCTTACATTCATTTGCTTCTGTGTCATTTTACATGTAGCTAAATTTTCTTTCTTTGCCATTTATAGTAGAACAGTCTTCATTCAAAAAGCATTTACTCCGTAACTTTCAACAGATAGCCATGTGTAAATGTATGCATTTGTATGGCCAAATCAGTATCCTTCAGTTCATTATAAAACCATCATCTAATGTGCCTGTTCATAAAACAACCCAAACTATATTGTGGCTCTAGGGTCAGTTCACACAATATACTTCCCACTATTGTTTGTCATCATGTAGCCCAATATAAATGTGTGATCCAGACAGGCTTGGCTATGAGTAGCAATGCTCCCTGTGACCATGGTGGTACCATTTTTCCAGCTACTGCTGAGGGAGATCTGGATAGACAGCTCATGTGGGCAAGATACATGTTGTGTGAGGCTGGCCCGTGAAAACACTGCCTTAGTTTGGGCTTGTTCAGGTTTGCTTTTGAGACATACTCGGTACAACAACTTTAGTCCTTGGTTTGCTTCTTAACATAGTTGTTGTTTTTAAAAACGTGTTTATGTACAAACAGGTCTAGAATATCCTGCCATAGTGGAATTTGCACCATTTCAAAAATCTGCCAAAAAGAAAAATAAGAAAAAGGATGCCAAAGCTGGGACCATTGAAGATGGTTAGTAGTAAAAGTTGCTTGTTGTGTCATTTGATGAACCTAGCCTCTGTGTAGGAATTAAGAGGCTGTAATGTTATGGATTCTTCCTTGGAAGTAAGCTTCACTGAACCCTGTTGGTCAAACTTCTAAGTGAATATTCATGGGGTTGCACTGCTAGAATTACCTTTTGAAATAATGTTGGCTGTCCTTAAGCATGATCTGAATATGTTTGCTCAGAAGTTAAATGTTTCTATGTTAAGTGAGACATACTTCCTGGTAGGTGCATAGAATTGCAGACTTACTGAAGAAGAATTGCAGTTCAGTGGAAAGCTTTATACAGTCACAGTCCATAATATTTAGGGGACACAGAACATTATATATAGAACTTCATTTAGCAAAAGCTTCATAGTACATTTAAATTTGTGCACTATTACTGTAGCGGTAACACACCAATTTTGACCTGTGATATGCCTTTCTTGATCACAAGATTTTAAATCCCTTAACAGGCAGGCAGCCCAGGGATGCACAACATGTGTCTCCTGCCCCAGGCAATTGCAGCTGCCAAGGGTGCTCTGACCTTCTGCTGCTACTGCCATGAAATTTCCTCTGCCAGCAATCTTAGTACAAATTGCTCTTTCCTTACAATCTGTATCAGAATCCTGCAGGGTGCGGGGAGAGAAGGCTCTCCTCTCACTCAGCAGTCCTCATACAGATTGCTCTGTTAATTGCTCTACTGCTATTAGTGAGGAAAGAGTGATCTTCATCATGATTGCTGATGTCCATCTTCATATGCGTGTACAGAGCCCCTAATCTCTGCACTAACATCACATGGGGCCCTTGATGCCAAAAGCCTTGTACCTCTGTGAGACAGACTGTTGCACTGATGTCCTGCTGGTGGATTTCCTCTGGGCATTCAGCCACTGTATGAACAGAATGCTGGACTAGATGGAACTTTGGTCTGATGCAGCAGTGCTCTTTTTGTGTTCTTATGAGGGACAGTGTGATGTATCAGGCTAGCTTCTTTCTAATCTGATATGCCTTTAAATGCCTAGGCCTCCGAGGGCACAA